TAGAAATGGCAAAAATCAAGACAGAGTGGTTTATTTATAACAATTGGCAGTAGCATCTTGTGAGATCGTTGGGACCAAGACCATATTCTTTGTTCTAACTGTATTCAAGCCTTGGACTTTAATTTCAACAATGTTGGATGTTACTCATATATTAATTTGGTAAATATTTTTGTTTTTCATTCTCACAAGTTATCAGTTTACTGTGTATTTCTGTACCACAGACTTGTCCTGGGTGATTTAAAAGCAGGAATACTCTAAGGTTATGAAGCTGGTTTAGACACCGGATTAAGAGCAGACTTTTGTTTAGTTTCCAAAACCTGATAGTTCTCTCTTATATTTGCTTTTGGAGGGTGTACAGTCATACAGTTCATATATAATCCAACATACTTCTTCAATTCTCCTTTGTTAGAAAGACTTGCTGTGACTTTTACCCCTTTTGGTAGAGATGGGAGCAGCCATTTCTAGTTCTGTAAGACAGCACATCAAAGCAATATCTGTGCTACTAATTTCAGGATAGATTTACATCCTTTTAAGTGGAATTTATAAACTCCAAGTATTTATTTCAGAGTTGATTGTAGTTGTGCAAGGATGTGTGTGTGAATATGCAACACAAATTATTTTATTTAGCAAACAAATTTTAGAATTTGCAACTTTATTTTATTTCCATCATTAATTCAATTTTGCTTGGACCTTGGTCGTGTCATGGATTAAGCAGGGAGATTTCTGAACTACTAATTTTTTGATCACTGTGCAAAATAAGCCCAGAATATAAGCATTTCAGTTGGTATTAAGTATAAACAAATTTCCAGTGGTATTTAAATGTGCGACCATAAAATATTTCTGCTGGCATTTCCTTACTCATTAGCAGCTGTTACAACAGCCTCCAAACATCTATTAAGTAAAGGAAGATATTTTGTAATATAGATTAATAGAAATGAGTAAGAAGATGATACGCAAAAAAAGCTCTTGGATACAACTGCCTTTTTTTCTTAATTGGAAAAGTATATAAGCACTCTGCATTTCAGTATGAATGTTAGACTTCAGCTGAGTTCCATAATTTACACTGAGTGTAGCTTAACACATTTAATTTCAGACATAACTAACAATAATCAGATAGGGATTCTTGAAAACAATTTATTCCATTTCAATGGAATTTCCAATTTACTAGCTGCAATCTCAAGTATGTAGATGGTAGCCAAAGCTGGATGTGATGTTTCAGTTTAGAATATATATATTTTTTTTTTTTACCCATTGTTTCTTCTAGCATCTTCTTGCCAAATCTTCTGGAGCGCTTGTAATTTCCTCTGTACAGAGCCCAACAGGCTCATCAGCAGCAGAAGGTAAACATAATAGATGTGAGGAATTTCTGGAGATTTATGAGGTTTAGCTTTCTAAAAAGTACACTGTGTCTGGCAATCCTAGGATGTGGCCACATGTGGACTCTGTTGATTGAAAATGGTATAAATGGGGCATCATTTAGCCTTTGTTAGGAATAAAATTTAGGAACAAAAGTTGTGTTCTGCAATAGAACTTAAGTATTATTTCTTCCCTGAAACAGCATGTTTTAGCTCAAAAGGATAATTGTTAGGGAGGTTAAGCTTTCATTAAAATGTCTATGTCTATTATTTAATAAATTAAGCTTTCTACCTACAGTCACCCATATCTCTTCACATTGCAACAATCAGATCAGAGATCATTATACAGCAACCTAGGAATATGAAACTGCTCTAACTAAGGAGATTGGCATTATTTGGATTTGGTATCAAAAGCTTCAGAGCAAAAACTATAAAAATAAAAGCCACATAACTGTACTATTATTCTAAACATTAATTTGTTAAATTCTGCCATCTGTTTATGAAATGTAATTGAAAAATTGCTCTCCTTCATCAGTTTATTGTGCTGATAAAAGAAGATACATTAGCAAAGACAGAAATATGCCATCCTAATGATCATGATAATATCACTGCATGTTAAAGTGCTCTTTTAACCTTTTTCACTGGGCTTTACTGATATTAATTAATCAGCTTGAATGCTGTCAACATCTCAAGCACTAGAGTGCTAGTTCCAATTCTGTGCCAGGCATTTCTCTGCATCTTTTTCTTTTATATGTTTAGCTAGAAGAGCCTGGAAGAGCATTAGCAGAACAGTAGAGAGAGGCATCTTCTTCCTGCCCATTGTTTACCCTTAGTATTGCCTGATGGAAGAGCTCATGTCTATAAGCCTAGGTTTTTCATGGCCTATTTCATCACCATTCTCAAGGACTTGCATAAATGAAAGATGGGATCGTTTGGAGATAAACATTGCCAAGAACATCACTTTAACCCTCATCATCTTCCACAGTACACTAAAACAGAGGGAAAGGTAGCCTTTAGTGAGGAGGATGGTTAAACAAAAGCTTCTCTGATTTCTGAGATGAATGACCCTTGAAATGTTGCTTCTTGGTGTGTTTAAAATCTAGAAACTTTGTGTGGCTGCTTCATGCTTTTGTTTCTGCCGGGTAATAACGCCCTGTGATGCTTCCAACAGTAGCAACCTGATTTCTAAGACTGAAATGATAAACACATATCAGTTTTGGACCAATGACTGATTCTAACGGGCACTGTTTCCAAAAGTTTTTGTGTATTGATTTTCTAGCATTTTTTTCCTTTCACTAACACTGTGAGCACAATGGATTTGGAAGATTCAGTGCAAGTTCATAAAATGTGTGGGCAGCTTAAAAGCATTAATAGTATGTTTCAGCTTCATTTGGAAGATAATATGTTTCAAAGACCACAGTATAAAATAGCTGGATATCATTGGAAAACAATATTTAATTATTAATGAAACCAAGACATTGGCTTGGAATGAGAAGTGATTGCTTATTTACTGAGGATTTTACAGCAAAGGTAAATAATGAAATCTGTTTCCTAAACTTACCTGTGTAGCATTTTTTTATTTAAAGATCCTTCTTAACATGGAAAATGCAAATAAACATTTTAACTCCTTAGCAAAATGGGAAAATAGCTGTGAATTTGTAAAGGTTTTGTGTGCATTTGTCACAAGCAGTTATTGTGAAAGTGGGATTACTGCCTGACAATTTCATCATGTCTGTGAAAGTAATGTTTAGGAGGTGAGGTAATACAATGATGTTAATCCAGCTTTTTATAATCAGCCCCCTATGTATATAATATTTATGTTATTGTCTGTTCAGGGTTTTCTTTTCCTAGAAGCATTCCTTATCTGCTAGAATTCTTGTTTGACAAATGAGATTGGATTACCAAGTCACAGCTGTATACATTGGTTGATGTATTGCTCTAGGATTGATAATTCAGAAAAGCAATGTAGTATTTGGGGGTTAATTTTCTTTTCTCAGATACAAGAATCTAATGCTGCTTTTAAAATATTTTCTTCATTTCTGTTATCTAAGTTTTACCAGGTTTAGACTAGTTATTGACTCAGTTATGGTGAAAAATGTTGATATGCTGTCAATATTAATGTAGATGTCAGTCCAACACTGGTCCCTAATGTATGTAAGAGCAAGGATTTTTTACCTTGATACAGAAAGGCAGTCATGTGTGAGATTTAATATACATCCTAATCTATCTTGTCATTGCACTAGCCATGGGTGATGTACTAATGTATGGGCAACCATTTTCCTTTCTCTTCACACAATGGAATAGATGCACATGAATGACAGCGAAGTCTCCACTCTGTAATTATTTGGAGGGCAGTTAGAATGTACAGAAGGAATACAGTAGTTTTACTTACAGATTTAAAGTCTATGGCCTTTTTTTGTTTTGTTTTGTTGTTTTTTTTTAATCTTCCATATGATCACTAATAATAGGAGGAAAAAAAACCCAACAAAACCCAAACCAAGAAATGGCTAAACATCTAAACCTAAGTAAGGTTCATAATACACACAAGAGTTTGGAATTTCAGTTCTGAGTCCTTACACACCCAGCCAAATATTTTTATGCATTTGAATGCATTCTTTGTGCTGACATCATCATTTTTATTCACTTCCTTGGCCAATATGTGTTTTATAATACAGATGATTTCTCATCGAGTATTTCTAAAAAGTGAATAATCAAATGAGGTCCTTAATTAAATGTCTCTTTTATATTAATTTTCCTTTTCCCTTTCTCCATTTCTTTTTCAAACTGTGAACAATTATGGAAATACGAGATTGTGAATATGAGTTGACACAATGTAAGATAAGCAAGTAAAAATTAATGTCTATAGCATGTCTCATCTTTGTGCATGTTGGCAAAACCAAAAACCTAAATATTGCTTTTTATATAAAAGGCATTTTGATGAGATTGCAGTTTCCTAAAAAGCGAGTCCAAAATTACATATTTCTTAGTGCAGCTTGAATCAACAAATCTTTGACTTCTTGTATTAATTCATAATACAGCTTCCTTTTGTTCCTCTTTTCAAACTGTAAGAAACTGTCTTTACGCATTCAGTCTGTCTTTGTGTGAGAGAAAATGAAAATGAGGCATGCTGTCCAGATCATAAAGATAAGCAACCGCCTGCAATTTCAGCATTATTTTTACTATATATTTAGAGAGGGAGGATACATTTTCTCCCTTGTGGTTGGATGCTATTATTTGTAGACTAAAGCTATTGCTTTCCTGGCACCTTCCAGTGTTCCATTTAGAATTAAAATTACTATACACACTTTCAGTAACTCTAAATTGAGACTAGTATAATTTCAACAATGGAAATTCTGCACAGAAATCTTTATATGTAAATATTCAATTGGGGGAGGGGGAAAAGGGAAAAAAAAAGAATCCCAAAACATTCTATTTATGCAATATATGTTATAGTCCCCATACTACTAAAGTTTCCTATGAGTATTCATCTTCTCCAAGAGCAGTAATATAAGGCTAAATTGTTACCTTATGTTTTCATGGGGTAGATTTGTGACCACTGACAGTTATAATTTATGATGATTGTGGATGTTAGCATACTTGACTGTTGCTATGATTTTTTTTTCCAATACAAAGATTAGCAGTATGAGGAGTGGATGTTTTATCTTCACAGAATGCTACGGAGTTCCTATCAGACTATAGCTACAGTGATGCACCAGAACTTATTCACAGACCAGTATTCATTTACTCATTTGAGAGGATCTTGTGTAAACCCATAGATTGTGTCACAGTAGGTTCTTCTGTCTGTGTGTCTACTGATCTATCTAGCTGCCTGCTGCATGGCATAGGATCTGAATATTTGTTGAAGCTGCCAAAACGAAAGAGGGGTGGTGTCAGCACTTTAATATGCAAACAATTTCTGCTCACTAAAGAATTTATAGTGGCTTCTGTGTTGCTACTCATTCAATAAACTCTATGCACAGTGTTTCTAGGTTTCTGAATTAGAAGTGTAAGCTTTGATGAGACACAAGTGATGGTGGTGTGACAGGCAGTAGATGTGTTCTCACAAACTTACAGCTTTTGCAAGGTCAACATTTTCAGAATATCCATTCAAATTAATCATCAATCTTCCTCTTTTATAACTCAAATTACAAAATCTATTGCCACTTAAAATTTATGTCAGGGTTTAAATCTGAATGTCTTACCTGTAAGTGCTACCATCTCCTCTTGTTGTGGATCAGTGGTATTGGTGGTAGTATGTCAACATGTAGGTACTGTGAAGATCTTGAATTAAAAATATCTAAAATAAATTGTTGGAAAGCTTAAGAATATTGATTTGAAATTCAGCATAAGTGCTAATTTTTTTCAGAAAGAGTAGGAAATCAGATTTTTCTTGAATATAAGGTGTGTATCTGTGATTTAAATTTTTCTCTGCTAAGTGTTTAAGTCACACATGTAATGCAGAAGACCATACAAACCAGTTCATTTAGTATCTTTGCAACCTGTCATGTTAATATGTAAATACATGTGCATATGTATTTAGACAAATCTAAAAACATGCATTATTTACATGCTGTAAGAGATTTTTTTCTGAGCCATTACAGTCTATTATGTAAATATGCATTTAAAGGGCATAATTTTATTTTTTTTTAATTTAATTGGATTTTTTTACTTGATAGGTTGTAATGGCTAGGATCCCTTACACAGTACCTCAGAATTTCTTTCTCTCTGTATTATAGATATTGCTATAATGTTAATATGAATTTGCATATAAAATATGTTTCAAGAAGTTACTGTACACATGAAGATTAATAATTCATTGATTTTAAATGGAAGACAGAACATCAAAACTGATTAGTTCACATAAGGGTGAGATTCATCCTCCCTGCAGAAGGCTAGCACAAAACCTAGGCATCATTTAAGTCTCACTTAAGCCCTCAGAATGCAGTTTAAATGGATTTTAACTGGTGTGTAGGTTTTGCTCTGGCAATTGGCGAAGTTGTGAATTTAATCCATGAAAGAATAATGTATTTCTAAATGGTCCTCAGTTCTAGAAGTGAATTAGAGGGTCTCCTAGGAACTCTCAACTTCTAGCAGTCTCCCAAATTTTACCTCATTATTTGCAAAGTAAGTGAAATCCAGTTTTAGAAGAAACATGTGAAGTGCCTTTCAATACCATCTGTTCTGGGTCATATCTGCATCAGGAATGGAACACAGTACAGAGATGGCTGACCTAGTTCAGAATAAATGGATATATCTGCTGTAGATTGCGGACAATTGTTTATCCCAAATTTATATTCCAGCTCAGGAAAATTTGGATTCCAGCTCATATTCCATAATTAAATATGGAATTTAGTCATTCCGAGGTGCCCTCAAGATCATTATTATTCATGGAAACTGTGTGTTCATCTGGTTACTGGGGTGAGGTTTCATGTTGATTTTCAGTCAACAGATATGACTAAACACAGGCAGAAAGAAAAAAAAAAAAAAAAGAAGGGCTCAGATTGTTCTTTACCCACTAATACTTCTGGTTACGAGACAGTGCTGGCACTAGTAGATGATTTTGTAATAGGAACCTGACAGCCGCCAGTAGCAGATGCTAAGGGAAAGAACAGAGGAAGAGGTCAAGCATATAGTCATGCTTCCCTGGCATAGCATCCCAGCTTCTGGCAAGTTTTCCAGACATCCAGTTTTCAGCAGACCAGGCTTAAGCTGTGAGCACAGGAAAACAAAGAATACCTACAGAGTTTAATAATGGAGAGTGTCTCAGGAGGGACAGTAGGAAAAGGGAAAGTGTGACTTGGGCTCCAAAACCTGCTGGGAGTGAGGATGTCAGAGGAAAATAGACATGTCTAGATAATTGTGAAATGTCAGAAATGTAGTTAAGCTGGATTTGTGTTGGGTGCTAGTTTTTTTAAAATAGATTTATCTAAAACTTTGTTTCTAAGCAATATGTTTTGAAGTAGAACAGCTGTTTGTAGGATATGTCGAGGCTCATGTTGCAAAAAAGAGCTGCAGGGCCTAAGTTGAGTCAGGCCTGTGGAACAATACCAGTTTATAATACACAAAATATGCAAGACATATTTCATCCTTGGAGTAGGAGCTCTGCGGAGAGAGAAATACAGGGGGGTGTAGGATCCATAAATTATTCCGACATCTAAATAAATCCCAGGAAACTCAGGTGAGGCACTGTCCCATTCAAAGATGCCTTGCAGACAAGGGCTTGCATCTTTATGATCAAACTTCTTTGCTGGGGTTACCCCTACTCATTGGGAGGGAAGAAACAGCTACACTTTTTAAAAAAGAAGGCAGAAATGGAGTTCAGTTTGCAGTCATGTCAGCCTCACCTTACAGAGGTTTCAGCTGACATTTTCAAGTGGTATGATCAAGCTCTTTGAATAATTTGTCAGTGAATCAGTGCAGTGATTGTTTGTGGACAGTATGACACATAGAGTCCGAGGTCAATTAGTAGCTACCTAGCCCAAGTGAGAGGACAAAGAAAAGTCTCTGTGTCCTTGCTGCTGATTCTTCCTATAGGGCAAATTGTTCTGGCAATAAAGGAGGGTTTGATTTAAATGAATCTCTTCCAAACATGATAAAAGACAACAATAATCTGAACTATTACTGCTTGGTAATGTACTCACTGGTCACAATTAATCTTGCAATTAGGTTCTATTAACTTGGCAAAATTCAGAGTCACATTAATGCCAGTTGACTTGTTTTGGGTGTTTTCTTTCTTTGATTGGTTGGTTTTTTGTTTTGTTTTGTTTTGTTTCATAACAGCAACCTGTTGAGGGCTAAATCAAGCTGTAATAGGCCTTAAGGAGAAAGAACTTGATGGTAACAGAAATACTTCTAGGCAGGCTGTGCCAGGCCAGCTTCAGCAAGAAATGGAAAATAGTATCTTGAATTAACATGGTCCAGTCTTTAAACACTTTGCTGAACTGAGGCTTGGGCTCAATGCATGGAGAACCCGTACTGAAAGCAAAGCTTCTTAAACTCCATCTCTGACTCCTACCACAGGACACAGGACTGAGGCAGCCTGAATTAACTTCATTTCCCCCTATTTCTTAATGTTTTCCTTTTTCTGTCTTAGGCAAGGTCATGGATTAAAATGACTTTGTCCTTCTGGCTTTAAACATCTAGAGATAGACATATATAGTTAGATGTCAACTTCTATATATGCAATGGAAGCTCTACAATATCATTGAGTATATTAATTATTAAAGTCAGTTTAGAAAAGGTAATTTTATTGAGCAATTTTATACGAATGATTCAAAGAAGTCCTTTGGAACATATGGATAGGAGCTGCTTGCAATTCCAAAGCAAAAAATATTAAATACTATATGTCATCTGGGGGCAGAAATTACATTATCTCTGCTCTATGTGATAATAATTTCTGAATGTTTACTAGTATATTTTATAGGAAGTCATTACAGTACTTATCTGAATATCTCTTTCTTGGTGATTATGAATCTCATCCTTTTTGACTTTCCAGGGAAATACCAGATGTTACAATTCCCTATGGTGGACCAATTATTTCCTAATTTCTTATTATTTTAATATGCATCAAAGTAATTATTCAGCTATGCAAGTCTGAAAAAACTTTTGGGGATTTTTGTTTTGTTTTGTTTTGTTTTGTTGTTTTTGTTTTTTATGTGTAGCTTTAAAACATTCCAAAACAAGTATCTTTCTAGTTTGATGGAAACTATCATACGAACTTGGACTGAGACCTCACTACTAACTTTTAGCCTGGATCAAACTTTCTTAAAAAGCCTGGGAGAAGGGGGTTGGAGAGGAGGGAAGGGGAGGGAAGGAAGGAGGGAGTGAAGCCTTAACAGTGTAAATGCTGACCAAACCTTAACTATAGCATCTTGAATGGTGACACTATAATGCAATGCTAACAAGGACTCCTGAGATAAATACAACCTCAATTAAAGGCTTGCAGGTGTGTCATGAAGGGTGGATGAAAAGAGAGAATGGAAAAGGATTTGTGCCAGCAGACCCTATAGTTTTGTAGTAATTAGTAATCTGTGCAGGTGTCTATTATGACTAACTGACAATAAATCTTGGCTTCTGTTTTGAATATTGCTTTTGTTTCCACAAGTTCCATGCCTGAAGGGGAGAAAGAAAATGACTGGAAGATTAATTACTGTGATGGTTACTCCCAACAAGATAAAATGGAAAGCAGTAATCCACGGAATGAGATTAAATGTTATTATTATTATTTTCATATTTTATTTTGATAACAGAAAACTGAAGGCAGTGTAGGTTGTGTGGGGGTATGTACGTACTGTTTTTGCATAATGACAGAAAAATGAGCCTCCTTTGTCAACAGCCTGTCTTCTAGTTATGTGCACAAGGCAGGTTTTTTTTCTGCTTCAGCAAAATGATGGAAAGGTATCCAAACCTTCTACATTTTTGCAGTAACCTCTTATTTTAAGCACAGTGGTGAGCTATAAGTAAATTTTACCATAGAGCTATGTTTTCCTTAGCCTCTCCATCTGCTCGTTTTTGACACCCCTGTCATTAACTGTCATTTTCTTTTAAATATACAGTGAAGCTGAAAGGCCAACTCTACATCACATCATTTCAGATTAGGGGCAGTCCCTTTGAGCTGAGCACTGTTTAGGTGTCAGAAAGAAGTCTCTGACCTCTCTCGTACCACACTGCCGCAGGGCCTTAATTAGTACTGACTCCAGCCATTACTGCAGACAGGACAAAGGCGACCACATCATTTTTCTACTTAGGAAGTTAACGTCTGACCTAATAACTTGTCCAGCCTTGCAGGACACTGTAATGGTCACACAATGGTAGTGGGGTTTATTTGTCAGGTTCTTCCCTTCTCTAAATGTAGGATCATCAGGAAAGTTAACTGTTGAATTCTTCAGTCTTGCAAGGGTTATTTTAGGGCTTCATTCTGTTGATTTGTCATGGAGAAAATTACAGGCAGAGAAGGAGTCAGATATTCAGAAAAGTAAAGAGGATAATAGTGGATAAAAGTGTTTTATAGAGGATAAAAGTGTAGAGTGTTTTTTGTGCTGGCCAGAAGTATCTGATTATTTAAAATACTGCTGATCTGCTCTGGTGCTATTGAATGTAATGAAATTTTATCACTTACTTCATGAAGAGCAGACGCAAGTCAACAATCAAATAAATTCACTTTTTCTCTCTCCTCCTTCCTTCATCCCACTCTTCTTCATCCCATTCCCCAATCTCCTAGCAGAAATTCACTCTTACATGAGAAACATTTTACCATGCTTTTGGTGCAGCATTTTTTGTCTGTTTCACTAGAAATTGGACTTATTGCACCAGACGTCAGCATTATACAGTTCCACAGAATCTCCTTAATTTTTCTATTTATTTGGTAACATTCCACTGAGAAAACTACATGCTGAAATATGGTAACTTCCTAATCTAGAGCATTCTCTCTCTCTCTTTTTAAATTTTTATTTAATTTTTATGTTTAAAATTAAATAATGCAATTTAAATTGCTGTAGAAGTTGCATGGTCTCACACCACATTCCTTTATTATCAGCCAGTGTCACATGCTGCAGCACACAAGCACACATTCTGCTACCACAGCAGAAATTACTTCCACTGTAAATATATTTCAGAGAGTTGGCAAGACGATCTAAAACTTGCAGCGAGCTAAGACTCTGCTGATGATCAGTTTGTCAAGGTATAGATATAATGTATACTTTATATTTTTTAAGACTGTTTGACTGTAATCAATTAATCTACTAGCTTGAGGCTTGCTTTCTGTCCTTCTATAGGCAAGAAATAATCCTGCCTGCTTTACATCTCCCTCAAAGCAAAACAAACAAAAAAACATAATAAAAAATGGAAGGAAAATAAAAGAAAATTTGGTTCTCATTCTAATATGCTTTTTTGCACATCTTGGTCTTTGTAATTTCAATTCTAGTTAGAATTATTTTCACTATAGTGACTTTGAGCCAGACTGGAGTCTCAGAAATACTGTAAAGTTGCTACATCTCCAAGGAAATCTCTTTTGAAGTGATCACACAGAGGTAATTACAGTATTATCAAAGCTGCAAAGTGTTGCATAGTGTTTCTTGTGCTCAAACAGCATCTAAAGCAATAAAATACATTTAAATTCTACAACAGGGCTCAAACTGAACACAGTTTGCAAGAGACTAGACAGGTTTGTATAAAAAGCTATAACATGGCATAAGACTGTTAGGGCCAGACCCTTTGGCCTATGACAGTGTGATCAAGCATTATTTCATTTAGTCTATGAGCTGAAATACAGCCAATAAAGTGTTTCTGAGTAGTCCTTTGACTACATATCATATCTTGCAATTTCCTTATTCTCTTTTAGATTACCCACATACATTGATTTTTTTCTGAGAAGCTATGAGGTGAACTTTACCTTTCTGAGCATAAATAATTCCAGATTCAGAAATCTTCATTTCATTAGAAAGTTACAGCACAGAAGAGGCCTGTACGAAGGAAGAGACTTCTGACTTCTTGTGGATTTGTATGGCTACAGAAGTTTATGCTTGAAAACCAAGAACAGCATTTGCTGGAAGCTATTTCAGCAATTTAGTTGATGCTTTTTGCCCTCCATTTGCTGAAGAACAATGTCTGGTCTGTCATTCTATTAATAAGCTAGATTAAAATTTTAAAATTTTAAAGGGCCATTGCTTAGCGACTTCTGCTTCTTAAGGATTGGCAGCTTTATTATGGAAGCTGCATTAGACTGGGAGTTGCTACCTATCATTTTCCCATTGCACTGAACCAGTCAGGGAGGGCAGCCAGAGAGGAACCTTAGTGCAACATAGGCGTCCTAGATGGAGGGGTCCCTCCCACCTGGAGCAGAGCCAGTCCTAGGGGCATTGAAGGCAGCCACGTTGAGCAGTCATGGATGAGTGGTGAAGAGGGGGATCTCATCTTCCCCTCTGTCATTTATTTAATCAAGATTAAACACATTTTCAGATTATTGGCCACTTCACTGCCTCTCCCCACTGTTAGTGAGGCAGATGAGTTTCTCTAGCAGAGTGATATGAAGCTGCCTGGGCTGTGGGTGTAGAGTGAGAAAACTGAGAATGTGGTGAACTAATTTGTATGAGAGTCTTTGTCACCAAAGACTTCCTTTCGTTTGTGCCCTATGTGTAAGGCTAGAATTTGTTTTATGTTGGTTGACTTGCCAAAATTCAGGATTCATATTCAGGGGTTTGGAAGGTCACTAACATATGCTATGGGCAAAGGACCTCAATACTTGACAAAGTATTTATGTAAATGTCTCTGGGTTTATGTGGCTGTTATTTGTGCATACACACTAAGACTGCACACATGCAGAATATATATGATCATTAATAAATGAAGTCTTCTCTGTCTTTGTATGTATGTGACTGAGCTTGTGGTGGCTACTTTCGCATATTCTTTTCTAATTTAAAATAAAAAATTAGAACTGTTTGAGGAAAAAAATATGTAGAAACAAAGAAAAAATCAGGGAAAGGAACTACCTGTAGAGAACATTAAGGCTTTAACACAAACTAACAAAAATCCAAGAAACCAAACTTGAGTCTGACATGATACTTTTCACTTGTGCCTCTGTGTCTTCTTTTTTTTTTTTTTTAAACTTGCTGTGTGATAAAGAGATGTGTCAACCTTGACTTAGAATAATCTGAGTTTTGCTGGTTTGAGTCTTAACCTTACTATTGCTAAGGCCTGCATCTTTGGCCTGTGAATATTTTTTTGTCTTGAGACTGTAGGTAGAAGAGTCAGATTGTTTTAAAGCATATTCAACCATCCTTTTTACTTACTTTTAATCAACTTGTTCTTCCGAACAAGGTATGGAATTGATAGCTGTTATTGATTGCTTGTAGCATTACCTAATCTTCACTAAATGTAGGAAGCTTTTCAGATTTAGAAATTCTGCTTCTTAAGGATTGGCAGCTTTATTATGGAAGCTGCATTAGACTGGGAGTTGCTACCTATCATTTTCCCATTGCACTGAACCAGTCAGGGAGGGCAGCCAGAGAGGAACCTTAGTGCAACATAGGCGTCCTAGATGGAGGGGTCCCTCCCACCTGGAGCAGAGCCAGTCCTAGGGGCATTGAAGGCAGCCACGTTGAGCAGTCATGGATGAGTGGTGAAGAGGGGGATCTCATCTTCCCCTCTGTCATTTATTTAATCAAGATTAAACACATTTTCAGATTATTGGCCACTTCACTGCCTCTCCCCACTGTTAGTGAGGCAGATGAGTTTCTCTAGCAGAGTGATATGAAGCTGCCTGGGCTGTGGGTGTAGAGTGAGAAAACTGAGAATGTGGTGAACTAATTTGTATGAGAGTCTTTGTCACCAAAGACTTCCTTTCGTTTGTGCCCTATGTGTAAGGCTAGAATTTGTTTTATGTTGGTTGACTTGCCAAAATTCAGGATTCATATTCAGGGGTTTGGAAGGTCACTAACATATGCTATGGGCAAAGGACCTCAATACTTGACAAAGTATTTATGTAAATGTCTCTGGGTTTATGTGGCTGTTATTTGTGCATACACACTAAGACTGCACACATGCAGAATATATATGATCATTAATAAATGAAGTCTTCTCTGTCTTTGTATGTATGTGACTGAGCTTGTGGTGGCTACTTTCGCATATTCTTTTCTAATTTAAAATAAAAAATTAGAACTGTTTGAGGAAAAAAATATGTAGAAACAAAGAAAAAATCAGGGAAAGGAACTACCTGTAGAGAACATTAAGGCTTTAACACAAACTAACAAAAATCCAAGAAACCAAACTTGAGTCTGACATGATACTTTTCACTTGTGCCTCTGTGTCTTCTTTTTTTTTTTTTTTTTAAACTTGCTGTGTGATAAAGAGATGTGTCAACCTTGACTTAGAATAATCTGAGTTTTGCTGGTTTGAGTCTTAACCTTACTATTGCTAAGGCCTGCATCTTTGGCCTGTGAATATTTTTTTGTCTTGAGACTGTAGGTAGAAGAGTCAGATTGTTTTAAAGCATATTCAACCATCCTTTTTACTTACTTTTAATCAACTTGTTCTTCCGAACAAGGTATGGAATTGATAGCTGTTATTGATTGCTTGTAGCATTACCTAATCTTCACTAAATGTAGGAAGCTTTTCAGATTTAGAAAGGTGGCAGAAAATGTCTAGTAATGATGCTGCTGGGAATTGAAGCTCAATACTGTGGTCAGTATAAAAGTGATATAGCTATAAGAGGTATTTTATTATAAGCCCATTGTTTTTCATTAAATGCTCAAGCTGGTGTAATTTACAGAGATTTTGAAGTTGCTTATGTATTTTTCAGCTATTTCAGTATTTAATTTATTTCCATTTACAGCAAGAAATACTTTTGTGTGCTAGAACTTCAGAAAACTACAGAATGCAAACAGTGCAGTACTGTAATAATGAAGAAAAGAGATGGCATTTATGTTTTCAATACAAAGGGAAAATATAAGAAATCATTACTAAAACAGATATAAACGTGACCTTCACTGTGGTTCAGTAATTATCCTGCTTCATAGTGCGGTGTTTGTATCATGATTTTCCTTATTTCCTCTTTGTTTTCATTTTTATCTGGGTACTTCACTGGTGAGTAATAGCTAAAGGGAACCCATTATGCAAGGCGAGCATTCAGTTTGCAAGTGAATTTGCTTGTAGCTATTGCCACATTTGAACCTCACTAATGTATGTAAATTAAAAACTCTGGTATTCGGATCGCTCCTGTTTGAAATAAAAACAGAATCTGATCATTACAATCTGCAAGCCAGGTATTATCACTGGACTAGTGAGCCGCTGATGATAAATTGTACTGAATAGCTTGTGGATAGAATATTTTATCTCAGTTCTCTATCACACAGCACTGCATAAAATAAGAATGATTCATCAAGCATGAGAGCTGGTGGTTTATGAAATTCATTGCTCACGGCAAGTGTATTTTTTAAAATTCAAAAGACAAAGCAACTCACAAGGGTTATTTAGTAATCAGTGTGAATTACTTCAAGGTATAAGCCTTAGTGGAAAAAAATTAAAAATACATTTGCTGTACAGGAAGCATTATTGCTGTAGGTGCTATAATTTAACTGCTTCTCATCTATAGCTTTTTTGTGCGTGTGACCATTTTGGATTCCAGTCCTCCTCCCCTTTATTTTTAAAAGTGAAACTGCATAATCAGATGTAACAGGATTATTAAATCGAACAAGTCTATTCTATGCTCTCAGCAGAAACATCTTCAGGGGCTTGTACACCTTAGGCTGCAGTGGATATTTTGTTTATTCAAAAAGACATGCAAAAGGAGAAGAGCAATATAAAGTCATCTTTTTTCCTTCAGCTTTACAGTAAGAATGTTTCATTTCTTCTTGTGTATTGATGTCCCAAGGCAATGTTCCAAATGAAAAGATAATAACTTATGAAGAAGTGTCAAAAACTAATTAAGTTTTGTAACTTGTTTTTCCTTCACATAAAGTATATTTTTCATCACACTGTCCAGTCACATGCTGGGATTCTTGCTAACATCATCACATGCCAGTCACACCAAGTCTCAGTGGTTCTTCTCCTCCTGTCATTATTTCAGCATCAATTAATTTTCTTCTGACCTCGCCTTTAGAAAATGTAGCAGGGAGTTATCAGTGCATGCTTTGCACAGTCTATTTGGAAGGCATTAGGCCACTGTGTGTATTCGAAAATGGAGTAGGCCAAACATTATATTTTCTCACCTGCAGAGTTGCCTAGTAACCTGAATTAAAGATTTTCACCAAGCCTTCAAGACAAATAGAAAAACTGTAAAGCAGGTTGACCCAGGTGGGAGCATCAGACCACTGACATAGATTAGCATTTTGAGTAGGGGAAATATAAACCACTGCTCCTCATTAACGTTTATTGTGGAACTAGTTTTTGTAATTAAAGCAGCCTATTTTCTAGGCAAGCGAAAAGAATGTGATGCATCATATTTCACTGTTGCTAAATTTGTGTTCTGAAACGCATTTTGTTTTACTCTTTGACGTATGATTTGCTTATGGACCGTCAAAATTGGACACTTACT